GCAAAAGAGGGACCTCCCCGCTACGTGGCCAGAAATGCACACATGTCCATTACGGTTAATTGAGGGATTTCTTAGGATCTGCTCACATTATAGATGGCCTGGCTGTGTGTAACCTCACATTCGTGTTCGTTTGTTTTTTAATCCCCGACCCCTCCTTCCTCTTTCCTTGAGTCCGTGATTGGTATTCGGCTAGAACCTACTGGCACCGGCTAGTATTTCATGTGTGTTATTGGCAAGGCTTATTTCTAAGGGACTGCTGTTTTCATCTTTACGTGAAAATATTGGGGGGGGGGGCGCTTTTTTGATTCGTGACTGGAGCTCCCCTCAGGGGATGTAATTAATCCCTCTGGGTTTCCTGGAGCACCTGCCGAATGCTGCTGAATCGCAAACCAGCATTTACAAATAATTACAATATTGGTTTCGCTGAAATGACCCATCATGATTTCAATCCAGGCAGTCATTTCAGAACAGAGTGCGCATTGGGGTCTTCTAAATCACGTGCTCTGCTAATGCGTTCGATAAAGCAGCGAGCCTCCTGGATGCCAAGGCCCTGTTCGCCCTGCTCCCACGTCCACCCCCACCCCCACCCCCATGCAGCCCTTCCCACCTCCAAATGAACCTCCAGAACATTCTGTGGCCACAAAGGTGGCTGGACTCTGTGTGCTGTGAGTTGGGTGTGGGGTTTCCTTTAGAAATTCTATCATCAAAGAGGAAGTATGTTTCTAAGGGGTCCATCCTTTAGAAACTTTGCCCTTCACGAAGTCATCCTCATCTCTCTGTTTCCACGGCTTCTTTTTGAAGCCTCGGTGCCTCAGAGATGACGAGATGCCTGTCCAAACCCTGCTCCCATCTGAGTCCATGAAGACTCCCAGCGGCGAGCCTGCAGGAGGGAGGAGAACTTCTCCTTAGGGTTTCTGAGGTCTTACATCTTCACTGGAGCAAACGACCTCGTCTCTCTCCCTCAGAGATGAGTCACCAATCTTCCGCAGCCCAATCCTTAAGCTGCTGGTCTACTAGAGCAGTGCCTCTCACCCTTCCAATTGCCACGGTGCTTTAATACAGTTCCGCATATTGTGGTGACCCCCAACCACAACATTGTTTTTGTTGCTTCTTCATCACTGTCATTTTGCTACTGTGATGAATCGGGCAACCCCTGTGAAAAGTTGTTTGACACCCCCCCAGAGGGGTCACGACCCACAGGTTGAGAACCACTGCACTAGACCCTCTTACTTGATACCACAAACAAACAGACCCCAAACCCTCTCTACCATCAAATCAATTCTGACTCGTAGCAACCAGATAGGGGAGAACCAACTGCCCGCCCTGCGAGTCTCCGAGACAATTCTTCACAGCAGTAGGCAGCTCCTTCTTAACCCCATGGAGCTGCTGGTGGTTTTCGAACTGTTGACCTTGGGGTTAGCAGCCCAACGTGTAACCACTAGGCCACCAGGGCTCCTACGCGCTACCTCGCAGGTGCTTACTATGCACTTGTTGGATACATTATTTTGCAAGCGTTCTAAATCATGTACTGGAACATTATCTACATGCACACGTATCAGAGGAGCATGGCAGTCACAGAAGTAGAATGACAGCCTGTGTTCTGTGGGAGAGTTACAGTGACTTCCCTGTGATTCCAACTTTTTCTGAGACAAATCCAAAGACCACAGTTCATCCGAGCTGTGGTTTCCACATCGATTCCGTGGAGAGATTCTGTTGATCGTGTCTTTGAAGGGAACTGGGGTCTCTGTGTGAAGACAGGGCTTTTTAAAGACAACTTCTGTAGACACTGAGGTTTCTCTGAAAACGCCGTGCCTCAGAGATATCAAATTGCTCGTCTTGGGGTGCACCTCCCCCAAACTAGGCTAACATCACACATTTTAGCTGGGTCCTAGCTTCCACAGGGATCACAAGAGATAAGAAAGGCATAATTGGCAGCCCTTCTGAGTGTCACAGGGCAGCCAGAGCTGAAAATAGGGAGAACTCATCCAGGGTCCCTGTGTTTTCCAAAGTGAGTACGGGGCGTCTGGTGGGAAGTAACAGACAGCTGTAGTGTCCTTAGCGTCCCGCTTTAAAGACCTGCACAGCTGTCAGGGCAGGGGTCTCTTCTAAACAAGTAACCCCACCAAGCAGCATTCTGAGGGAGTCGTTTGCAGTGTTGATTCCGCCTTGCAATCTCACAGTTCTGAGAAGAGATGCTAAGGAAGGTCCAGCCAGGACAGCCCTTCCTGGACAATTCTCTCTGCCTCCCACGGAGGTCCTGGGGGAAAGGCAGGCCCTCAGGTTGGAGGACTTTCTGGAAGGGCCCCAATGCCACTTGATGGAATGGCCACCTGTTAGAGCAAAGATGTGACCATTCGTCATCATCAGGCTGGGACTCTGAGTGCAGGAAATTCAATCTATGAATGCCCGTGGCCAGGCGGCGTAGGGCGGCCAACCTTTCCGGTTTAGCTGGGGCTAAGGAGGCTCCGAGGAGGGGGGACTTTCCGTGCTAAAACCTGGGAAGCCCCCAGGAAAACCATGATGCGTTGATCGCTGTAATTCACTCGGAGAATACACTTTCTGCAGCCCGACACTTCCGTTTGCCCAGCATTGCCGGCTCTACACACACTTCCTGCCTGGTTCTCGAACATTCTTGCTTAACGCTTTGGAACTTCTCTGGTGCACGGAAGGCTGGGGACCTAGCTGAATTCTTCCGACAACTTAAGTGGTCCAAAAGCAGAATCTGAAACAGCTGTATACCTTCCCATGCTCTAAACCACAATGTCTGTTTCTCCTTGTTGTCTTTTTTTAAGCAGGCTAGTTGGAGCTTCAGCTTAAGGTGCGTAGGGGCTTAAGCAAGGCCTAGCCTGACGTCTCTTTGTTTTTAACGGTGGAGGGTTTTTGTTGTTGTTGCTGCTGCTGCTGCTGCTGTTTCTTTTTTCTGGATGAGTGATTAAGGAAACAAACAGCAGACACTACCATCCTGACTATCGGACCCTTTGGCCATCGAGACCGGGTCATCTCTGTTGCGGCATTACGACCGCTTTCCAAACATAATGAGGGCACGGATCCCCTGGGACCTTGTTAAACTGCAGGCCTGCGTCTCTAATAGGCTTCCAGGTGATGTGCATTCGGCTGGCCAGGTCTGAATCGCAGGGTCTACACACACACACACACACACACACACACACACACACACGGTGGCTCGAGCTCAGCTTCCTCCTCGCCTTAGAGGGAGAAGCAGGACATACGGGCCACATGGAGGTCCCAAAGCCACTGAATTCTGACCTTGCCAGAGGCCTTTATCAGTTGCCACGGCTGCAGTCTTGGGAAGGTTACATCCAAGGCTTGGTGACATGCCCTCCGTCAGCTATGATTTCGTCCTGCCGAGAACAAGCCAGGGTGATCTACCCAGAGGCTGACTGTAGGTTTATTGAAGGTGGCGCTGGGCTGGGCTGCTCACCCTCAAGGTTGGCAGTTCAGACCCACTCGGCAGCTTCATCTGGGTTGGGGGGGAGGCTGGCCATCCCTCCAGTTTTAGATGTCAGCCCAGGAGACCCTCTGGGGTGGTTCTACTCTATAGCACGTGGGGTCACGTTCAGTAGGGATGGACTTAACAGTAGCTAAAAACAATAAGCACATTTCCTCTCTGAGGTCCTGGAAGGGAGACAGAGGCCCGTGCAGGGCGGACAGGTGTTCAGTCTTCACTATAACCTTGCACATCAGATGTTCTTTCACCCCATTGCTTTTGATAAGACATGAATGAAGCCATTTCTCTTAAAGTCAATCGGTCTTCCAGGCTCTGAAGAGCTAACCTGGCTCTGGGCTATCTATCCCACATAAGTTCATCTCCCTTCTCGATCTTGAGTAGGCTGCAAAAAGGAGCCATGTCCACTTTTTTCTGTGGGTACATGCTGAAGACAGCCCCCTCCTCCCTCAACGAAAAAGACTTCCTGGTAGAGGCTTCCATGCCAAGCGCCCAGGAGCACCCCTCCCTCCAGAGCGCCATCAAAATTAGGATATCGTCAGGAATGGACCTGAGGCAGATTGGGCTTTCTTTCACCACAACTGGGAGCTGTTGTGTTTTACTGTAATGAATCTAAGTCATAAAGATTTAACTCCTGGAAAAATCAAGCCCCATGGAGGCAGCACCTGCCTGTAGGTTTTCTACTCCAGCACTTAACATTGCCCCGAGATTCAACCTGTGCCTCACAATGCATCAGACTTTGAGAGGTCAGTCTACAGTTTTACAAACAGTTTTCAAAAAGAGGGAGGGAGGAGGAGAGAGAATCCAAGAGGGTGTTTTTCAGTACATTCCCAAAGAGCATTCCTGGTGAGAGCCCTGTCTGCAGAAGCAGCTGGCTGCAAGTCAAGAGTTTCCTATATATGCTTTAATGAACATTTGAATTTCTGAGAAAGCCAAGCGGAGCTCAGCCCTGCCCATCACTCCCTCCCTCCCCTGCTGATGGTCTGAAATGTTGCTGGGCGGATCAAGCCTCACCGGTATGAATTGCCTGTTTCAGGGGAACCCAGTGCACCCAAGCTGGAAGGACAGATGGGAGAGGATGGAAATTCTATTAAGGTGAACCTGATCAAGCAGGATGACGGCGGTTCCCCCATCAGACACTACCTGGTCAAGTACCGCTCGGTGAGTGCCCACCTTCCCCAGTCTTTGCCCCAAGCCCAGCAGTAAGCCACACCCTTCCGGTTGGAAGCCAACAGCTCCCAGCCCTGGTAGGACAGGGTCAGGGTCTATGACAGATGGCTCACAGGGCCCATCAGCATGTTAATGTTCACCTCTGACCTACAGCTACTAGGTGATGTCTATACTTCACTGCCATGGAGTCAGTGCTGACACAGCGCGACCCCCCTGTGCAATTCTGAGACTGACTGCTTACGAGAGTAGAAAGCCCAGTCTTTCTCCCTCAGGCTTCTGGTGGTATCGAACTGCTGACCATGCATATCACAGCCCAATGCATAGCCACTACACCACCAGGGCTCACTGGGACCCTTTAAAAAAAACCTTGCAAAAGCCTTGTGGTAGTGGCAAGCATAAGCCACGATTGATGTTTCTGGTTCTTGATATTATTTGGCCAGTATCTAGTCTGTTTTGTTTTGTTTCCTTTGCAAACAATGTCCAAATAGATCATCCTGGCTACCTTTCATGAAGTTCGAATCTGATCTAACGGTGAGCTTGGCGCTAAGCCTTCTCCTCCTAATCCAGCTTGCCACCCAACTACGAACTCCATCACTCTACCCCCTCCCCGGCCCCTGGCCCCCCAGCCCTCCTACTGAGTTTTACTTTCTCTCCTTTTTGGGTTTTAGAATGGCATCTGGACATTGCCCAATTGCTGTGAGATTTGAGGGAATGCCTAAGCCTCTTGCTAAGGCTTCTTGCTAGTGGAAAATGAGGGTGCACAGAGCATTCCCTCCCTTCTAAAGAGCCTCCTCCACCGGGAAGTTGACTTACTTGGTCTGGCCTGGAGAGGCTCACTGGGTAGGTTGACTGTGTGACAGAACAGCACAGAGGACTCTCGAAATGCCCCTCAACTGGCAAAAGAGACCCCTCGTTGCACTCAGCTCCTCTTCTCGTTGGATTGCCAAGTGAGGTGTGGACCAGGCATCATACGGAAAATCTCTGGTGCTCAAAAGATGGTCTTTTAAAAAAAATAGGTTTTTTTAAATAAAATGTCTGGAGTTTACACCAGGTCCTTGTGTCAGGGAGTAGGGATGATGCTGCAGAAGGTGAGCCAAATTCAGAACTGCTGTATTCTTCCTTTCCGGAACAGTTCTTAGGCCTATCTGTGCAGCATTCTTGAGTGGAGCTGGGAGGGCGGGCAGTGCTTGAGGCTCTCTGCCCTGAGGGCGTGGGACATGGTGGGAGTGGCCCAGGACCACACTGGCACCTCCTGCCACCTGTGTTTGCAAATGCACAGGTGTGGTTGACCTGCCGATGTGTGCAGACCCTGCGGACTTCATCTGACTGGCGAAGAGTGGAGCCCCTGTGCTCGCCTTGCCTTTGCTTGTGAGCCCTCTGTGCCCACAGTTACTGCCTCCCTCCATGTCCTCACTGCATGCCCCTAAAACTCCCCGGTGTTTTCTGTCTTCCTTGCCGGTTCTCCCAGAAGCTCTCCTCCGACTGGAAACCAGAGATCAGGCTCCCCTCCGGCAGTGACCACGTCATGCTCAAGTCCCTGGACTGGAATGCCGAGTATGAGGTCTCCGTGGTGGCCGAAAACCAGCAGGGGAAATCCAAGGCTGCCCATTTTGTGTTCAGGACCTCAGCCCAGCCCACTGCCATCCCAGGTACGCACGCTCCGCTTTCTGTTTGTCTCCTGCTTTGAATTAATGCACACGTGCCGCACCTCCTAATGCGCCTGAACACCCCTGACAACTCGCTTGCTTACAGCCATCCTCATGACTGGTTGCCCATGCAAAGCTTAATTTGCTTTGTACCTACTGTGCAATGGGTTGAGATATACTGCCTGCCCTCCCCCTCTCTATCAGTCCCCCCTTGTAGGACTGATGCTAAGCCAGTCCCTAAGGGGCCCTCTGATGGGAAGAGACCCCTCCCACCACCACCAGTTCCAGCCTAGCCTTCGAGGCTGGTTGGCTCAGGATCTTTTGTGAGACCTAATCTGCTATCTACCAGGTCGTACCAGGACCACATAACTGTTGTCGAGCACTTCCTCCCTAATGCTTGCTTCTGTGCACTACAATGGTCCAGCGCTCTTCTCTGTGGGCGATCCCGAGAGAAGCAGGGGACGGAGGCCAGTGGGTTAGAAACCCTCTCTGCCAAGAGCTTCTCAATTGGCGCAAAGATTGAATCAAGCTGCTTGGCACAGAGCGAGCGGAGAACCTAGATGCTCGAGCCTGTGATAGGCTCCCTTCTCCTCGGAGATGCAGATCTGTCTCCAGGGATCCAGGATCCGCTCAAGTGTGGGAATAAAGTGAGAGTCTCTGCTTGTGGGCTCAGCTGCCTTTCTGCTGAGAGCCCATTTCCATGGCCAAAGCCTTCTGGGTACACGGGTCTCCCACGCCACCCTCTGTTTGTCCAGACCAGCCATATGCCATCCCCGGGCAGGTGCGGGAGGTGGGCAGAGAACAGAGCTGCAGGTTGGTGGAGGGAGCTTGTCACTCTGCCCCAGCGCCAGGGTGGTAGGAAGATTGCCCCTCTCCCAGTGGCTGTGGGCCCCGCCCCGCCCCCCTGCCATGCCAGTCCAGGCTATACTGTTTGCTTAGGTTCTTGGTTCAGGTGTCTGACTGCTCTGTTTTGGGGGACACAGGCCAGTGAGGAGGCGGGCTGCCTACCACCCAGCCTGTGTGTGCTTGAGGGTGGGCTCAGGCAGGCAGGAGCAACAAAGCAGAGCTCAGTGCGTGGTTCACGATGGCCGTTTGCGCATGATCGTGTGTGTCTGGAAATCTGTGTTGGGGTCCCCCGGGAGCTGGCAGTTGGCAGGTGATCTTATCAAGCTGTAGACCAGAAGCATTGATTCATGTGCGCCTCTGTGTCGGATGATGCCCGAGGGGAAGTAGAGGCAGGTCCCATGGATGTCACTGCAAGATGTGTCCACAGTGCCGCCCGATAGCATAACCCAGTGGGGGTGACCCTGACTCAGGCAAGCCCTCTCTGAACTTTTTGATCCATCTGGAAATTACCAGCTGGGATGGCGGTGGGGGTGGGGGGTGGGGGCATCCAGCTCCACCTGGTCTTTGGGGGATGATGCTTGAGAGCTGGGGGAAGGAGATAAGATCCCTGAAGGCATCTGTGTCCTGAGCTAAGACTCCATAGACAGGCAGGCCCACTGGGCATGCTGGGTTCCAGCAGCAGCGTCAACTTCTGCGGCTTGGAGAACGGGGAGACGGAGTCTATCAGAAACAAGAATCCCAGGGAAGCCCTTGTCCCCCACTGTCGTGTCGGCTGGCAATGTCAGAGTCCTCGCTAGGCCTCTCTTTAGGACCCAGGCACCCAGTATAGTAGAGAGTGCCACAGGGGATGCCCACCAGGGCCGCCCCTGCACAGGCCTTAGGAGGTGCCTAAAGGTGGCTCTTAGCTTGTGTGGACTTTGCTCACCATCATGTGGGGACCTGAGACTAAAGCCTCTGAATCGAATCGCGTCTGTCTGTGGTGGCGTTCCGTGTGACCAGCGAGAGGCTGGAAGGTGGATCTCGGGAAGGCTGTCCCCGCCCCTCCACGTGACTTGCTCTTAGGTGACTTGCAGTGGTCAGTTGCATCGGTACCACAGCGTGCAGGGACAGCTTTCGTCACGTGCCCCAGGGCCTTTACCTTACCAGGAAGGGAACACGGGCACGCGCTCCCAAACAAGGCCTGGTGTTTCACCACAGGCGTCTGCGCTCTCACTTTAATTTCATTTGCTCGCTGACCCCTAACCCCCCAATTAACCCCTGCTGTGCTGCCTTGGCATCGCTGAGCTTCTGAACTGGCCTATCGCACTGAACCTTCTTCTAACCTTTGTCAACTTCATTTACTAGATTGAATTTAACCTTGGATTCTTGCGTTTCCCCCCCACCCTACATTTGACCTAATTTTTTGTTTCCTTTTTATCTATTTTTTTTTCTTTCTCTCTCTCTCTCTCTCTCTCTCTCTGTTTCCTTCTCTCCCCTCCCTTTCCTGTGTCTGCCGTCACCTATGTCACCTTGGACGTCCCTGGGACACCCCACTGCCACACCTGTGGTTTAAACACCACTTTCTCTGGGGACCCGTGGCTTGGCCCTGCAGCAACCTTGGGCGGCTCCTCCACATCCTACACCTTTGTCTCGTTGCTTTTCTCCACAATGATTCTCCTCTTGCTCTGCTAGAAATGGAACACACAAATTAAATTGCTTAAAAAGGCCAGAGCCTAAGAGAATGATCGGTGCCCCCTTTGGAAAAGCCCACCGGGACCACCCCGGCCACAGCCACAGGGCAGGCATTTTGTGGGGAAGAGGAAGGTTCGGCAATTGGAAAAAACAAAGCAAAAACACAAAGCTTTATCTCCACCATGTTACCATCCACAGATATTTTTCTGCCGTGTAGGAAGACGCTTGCCCCCTTTTTAATCGCAGTTTTAAAAAGATTCCTTGAGAGCTTTTTGTACAAACAGCCACCAACACTGTTAAGAAGCATTCTGCTGGGTCTGCGGAGACCGCCTCTCTGCTACTTGTTGCGTTTTCTTGTCCTGAGCTAAAAATTATGTAGCAGGAGAAGGCTTCTCGGCACCTTCTAGAACTCTGCACCCGGTTGTTAAAATCTGTCTCCCATAAGCCTTCATCATAGCTCCAGGCTTTTCCGGCACCCTCCACCGAGTAGTTGGCTTTGCTTCTGTTTCAGTGCTCCTGGGAAGAGCCAGGCCGCTGTAGGTCTCCAGGGCGCAGTTTGCTGGCTGTCTCCTGGGGCTGACGGAACATTCTGAGAAGCGTCCTGGCCCTGGTATCAGACTCAGCACCTTACCCTCGCCTCCAAGCAGGGGCAAGCTGTGATGTGCCCAACACCAAGTTCAGTTCCCCAGGTGCTTCCCCCCAGACTGGGTAGTCCCCACCCCCTAGCCCCTGGCTATGTGGGGCCGATCAGCAAAGAGCTGGAGGAACTGTGGTCCAGCAGGGACTCGGGGTCCCACTGTAAGCACCGGCCCCCTAGGCCTGAGGCATCCACTGTGAGGAAGGCGGGAGCAACATGCAGAGCCAGCGGGCTACTCCCAGACTGCCCAGCCTCAGAATGTGAAGAGATTTGGGCTCATTGAGAATGGCAGGCCTTCCCACATGCCCCAGCCTCCTACTGGTCAGCTGGCAGAGTGCCATTTCTACCACCCTCTTGAAAAGCTGGCATTCTTCTCTGACATTGGGGATTCATTCTCTCCTGGAACCACAGAGAAGAGGGTGGGGTGTGTTTGTTAGGGTGCCTCAGTGAGCCCTGGGTGAGCCCCGCTCCCTTACGCCAGTCTGTGTGCTTGGGGCTGGACCTTCTACAGAATAAAACTCCCCCCTCCATTGTGGTCACATATCATTCTACATCTCTCATCTCTGAGCATCTCTGCAGAAGCTTGAGTTTTGCTTTGGTTTGGTTTGGTTTCTTTATTATTATTATTTTTCCCTGTTGTTATTTCTCAGTATGCAAAGACTAGCCAGCCACATTGGGCCTTTCCCCTTGGGAACCCAAAATGACCCGGTGCTGTCCACAGTCACTGAGGCCCAGCCCAGTCCCCCCATGGGCACACGCCAGCCTGCATAGCACTCCCAGCTGGGGTGTCATGTGACTATGCAGTCTGAGCCCCAGCCCCAGCAACAGCTGCCTCCAGGCCAGCGCGAACGTCTCTCCCTGAACCCCTGCCCCTGCTGCAGGCCAGGACAGAGAAAGCTGGCGTGGTTCTCAGACACAGTGCAGAGGGGCAGCACAAGCACGGGGCATTGCTGGCACCTGGCACCAGGATCCCAGATGCATGAGCAAGGGCCGTAGAGAGAGCAGGGTGAGGGGAGCCAGCCATGTCCGGCTGGCCTCCAGCATGTTCCTCTGACCATCTTGGGCAGCAGGCTGGTGTATTCACCCCACGGGGGTGCACCTCTGGGGTCTTCCCCAGCCCTGACTCTGCTCCCACCCACAAGTGAGGGACAGTGAGTGGAAGATCTAGTCCTCAAGTGTGAGGAGGGCTGAGGTGTCCCTGACCCTTGAGCATGCCTGGTGGCTCAGCAGGCTGGACTGAAGTGGCTTCAGGGCCATTCAACCAGGCCCGCTGGGCTTTGTTACAGTGTGCCCTTGAGGAGAGAGCACCTAGGACACACCCAGTCTCACTGGACCTTGGGCTCTGGGGAAGGTGAGCCCCCATCCCCTGGAGAAGGGATCCCTGAGACTGGAGGCTTTCTGAGACCCTCTGCAGGAGTGCGCGCTCCTGACCGCCCGGCTGCCCCTGCCTCCACGCCCTGCATTCACAGTGCCCATGTGCCACAGACCACGAGGCTCTCTGCTTGTTTGGGGACATTTATACAGCAGGTTGGAGGGCACCTTTTTCTACTAATAAGAATGCTAACGTTGTGTAGATAATCAGCAAGGCCTTTATGAAGTTTACACCTTTGCATTATTAAAGGAAATAATAGTTCGTGCGAACTCACCAATGTGTTTTTTATTTTTCTGTTTTTGATACTCGTGTGTTCCACAAAGTATCAGAAAGTCCTCTCTTGTGCGGAGTGGAGACCCAAAGCCCATCTGTAGGAAATCAGACATTCCCTCACAGAAGGGTCTAAGGGAGGAGACAAAACATACAACTTTCCTCTGGTTTTTTAATGCTTCCTCCCACCCACTATCATGACCCCAATTCTACCTCACACATCTGACTGGACCAGAGCAGGGACACGGATACAGACAAGAGCTAGAAAGACAGGGACCCTGGGACCAATAAGGAGAGTATCAAGACCAGGAGGGCAAGGGGAAGGTGGGGAGAGGAAGGGGGAAATGATTACAATGATCTACATATAATCCCCTCCCAGGGAGACGGACAACAGAAAAGTGAGTGAAGGGAGACATCGGTCAGTATAAGACATGAAACAATAATAATTTCTAAATTATCAAGGGTTCATGAGGGAGAGAGTGGGCAGGGAGGGAGAGAAAAAAAAGGAAGTCCTCTCTCCACCTCACACGGGCCGGGGCAATTTGGGTGTAGCCTGGTGAATGGGGCTCAAGTCGAAGGAAGTCGTGTGTTTCCATCAACTTTCCGAACAGCTGTTTAGATATGTCCTTGGCTCCTTGGACTTCCCAGATCCCAACAGAGAGGGGGAGGGAAAATCCCTCAGCAGAACTGGGGAGATAGTCACATAGAGGTGGGGCGGGTGGGGGCAGCCTCTGGACCCCCAGGTCCACACCTGTGGAGGATGGGCCTCGGGTTTCATCTCCGCCTGTATGCTGTGAGAGCTCAGAAGCTGCCAAAGTCATCCTGTGATACAGAGAATCGGGGAGATGGTTCTCTTTGGCAGACTCCCTCCTGTCTGTAAGCACACTGCGTGGACACACCTGACAGCCATTGGTTTAGCAGCTTTGGGAAGAAACAAGCACACATGCAAAGGGCTGAGGACCTCAGCGTGACAGTCCTGAGAGCCCAGCCAACCACTTGGGGGTGGGAGGTGCCTGTACTACTGCCCTGGGGGCCAGTGGCGCCATGACCCACCCAGGTCTCAGTATACTGAAACTCGCATGCCGGGATACAGCATCTAAGAGCATCGCTGTATGGGGTCTCAGCCTTGGAACAAACCCGGCGTCTCTTCCTTGCCACCCTCGGCCACCGTGGGAACCACAGAAGATGCACAGTCCCAAGCTTCTTAAGCCTGATGTTCGGGCAGCGTGAGCTCTCACACTGAGAGAAGCATCCTTGGGCCTGGGGTGCGTGGTCCACTGAGGTCAGGGAGAAGATCAGGGTTGAGATAGAGCCTGGAAGGTGGAAAGCACTACAAAAGGTGCAGGCAATGACCTTTGTCCCTCCCGTCTTCTCGGGCTAAGCAGTTCTACAGACCCACCAAGAGACAATGCGCACTGACTGGCCTTGAATACCTTGTCGCCCGTATCCCTCCAGTTCCCGTACCTAAAGCTTCTTTTTGTAAAAGCTGCAAGCCTTCTCCCACCCGCTCCAGGACGGTCTCAGTTCCTCTCAAAGTCTGGCTTCTGTATGGCGGTGACCTGGGCGGCATCTTCCTTTGAGGGATCCACCTGACTGGCGGACTGTAGGGAGGGAACGACATCGAGGACGTCCTCCAGTCCGCCAGTCAGGTCACGGTGACCGGCTGCCTCTGCACCAATTCATCCCTCCTTGACAGATCCCACTGAGGCAGCTGCTGTTCATGCGAATAGCAAGGGTCGACCAGAAGACCTAGGAGCTGTGGGCCTCATGTTAGGCTGCACATAGGAAATGTTACAACTCCTTCATAAACAAAATCCTAAGACTGAGCAGGACTGTGGATTCAGAGCACCTCGGAATCCCATTGCTGGTGACGAAACGTGGGCAGAGAGGGTATTATTTTTCATGCTCAGACAAATTCACGATGGGCAGTCAGCTATGTTGGGACCCACAGAGCATTTTAACCTTACAGGGACAAGGTCCGCCTCCAAACACGATGCTATGGCGGGAACTGACATGAGTGGGCCATGCCCCCAGCCAGGCATGGCTCAGGACCATAGAACATCTCCCTTGCAAGGACACACACTCAGGGTGAATAAGCTTGGAAGGCACCCTCTATGGCCGGCCCTGCTCTGAGCAAGAGTCTCACCCAGAGAAGTACAGTATCCCCACCTAAAGGCTGTCCAACCTCTGCTTGAATGTCTCCAGCCAGGGGCCGCCCAGGAAGGCCGCCCACACGCCATGTGGTTGCTTTGTCGCATTCGGAGCTGAAATCTGTCCCCAGACTGACGCCGTCCTCCTCCTGGTGATGCACCTTTAGATCTCTGGAGGCAATACTCTCCTCTTGGGGCCAAACCCTCATTTATAGGCTCAGCAAATATGTTTGGAGCAGACCCCGGGGGTCAGGTGTGTCCCAGATGCTGAGGGGACTGAAAGCAGACAGGGTACCTGCTGGAGCATTTAGAGAACAAGTACAGGAATGAGAGCCGTGGGTTTGTATTGGGTGGTCGAAGCGGAGGCCCCTGAGGAGGGCTACTGAGCTGAGGGCTGCAGGACCACACAGAGGCCGTGGCTGGCGTGGGGATGGGGTGTTGTGGGCTGGGTGTGGTCAGCGGGGAGAACCGAGGCCATCCTGACTGGGTAGAAGCACAGGGGTCAACAGGGTCCACACTGGAGTAGCAGGAGGCCACACGTCACCTGTAGGGCCTTTCAGGCCAGGACACAAAACGGAAGCCTTGCATGGTGGGACGTTGGAGACCACTGCCCCAAGTTTCCTGCTGGTTGACTTCCTGTGAAGGTTCTTTCCCCCCCCTGACCTTGCTCACTCCATGGGGCCTTCAAAGCAAACGCAGGCCCAAGCCGGGTCTCCTGGACTCAGCCAGGAGTTGTTCCAGCTGCCGGCTGCCCTCGCACATAAAACCACCTGGCAGTCCTCTGTTTTCCATGCAATTCTCTCCGTGAAACCATACTTGCGTACAAACTTGGGATACAGCGTTCTGGGGACGGTCACCAGGAGTGGCCTTGGACCCCAGAAAACATATATCTCAGCTCACACAGAAGTAGGGACTAAAAGCCTGTGGGGCATTGCTGTCAGGGCATTACAGCAGCCTGAGTCCATGGTCAAGGATAAAGACAAACCCAAGGCTGAAAATGTCTCCATGTTCAGAGAGGCAGCTTTGGGATACATAGCGTGAGGCAGGGAGGGAGTCCTGGGTCTCGTTCTTAGCTTTGTCTGTGGAATCGGTGAGGTCCATGGGGATTCTGGCAGATGCGTTGGGCTCTGGAGTTAAACCAGAAACACCTCTGCTGTGGAAGCTGCTAAGATAACAACCGACCCGCTGACTACAGAGGCCAGTGACCAGCTTCCTGCCTACAGCCCACAGACCAGGTGGCCGGAGCTGGGTCCACTGAGCGAGCACAGGGCCCTGGTCCAGTCTCAGGTCCTTCTGCAGAAATGGACTGGGGTTCTCTGTACGGGGCCAATGGGGCTGAGAAGGACAGGCTGACAAACAAGACCAAGGATCCCAGAGCCTAATATGTTTTCAAGATGGGAAGGCTCCTCCAGCTAGGGGACTCGGTGTGTGTGTGGAGGTTGGGTGAGTAGGTGGGGGGATCTCAGTACTCTGAGCCAGTGTCTCAAACCCTGGATTGAAGTTTGAAACAAGGGCCATTGGGGTGGGACTGTGCAGAAGCCCTGTGGCATGCCCCCACCCCCACCCCAGAACAGGGTCCACATGAAAAGAAAGAGACTTGGCCCACCAGCAATGTCAATGTCTGTATGTGACAGCCAGACCACTGAGCCTGGCCCTGGAGGTCCCCAAACATGTGATAGCTGGATATGGGGTTGGGCTGGGGCGTTGACCCAGGTAGTGGCCTCCAGGCCGGGGAGCTGGGGGATCCCGAGATCCTGGGTCTGGGGTATCCCATGGATCCCTGAGGGCGTAGGAAGCCTCAGACAGGTCTGGCTGAGTGGCGGGCTGTTAGTTCTGGAATCACCTTGCAGAAGAAGGAATCGGTCTGGGGCCATTGATTCTGCACTGGCGTCTATAGGGAGCTCACGTCGGTAACTCCCGCCCCACCCCACCCCCACATACACACACCACGACCACTCATCCCCCACATGTCCAGGTGACCTCAGTCATGACCCTGGGCCCAGGATGCTGACCCAGGAGCACTCTGTGCTGCCACCCACCATCCCAAAGCCCTGAGGGTCCGATGGACGGACACAGGGCGTAAGACAGAGACAGAGTCATTCAAAGTAGGCTTGGCCAGCCCCCCCCACCATCCCCGGGGGCTGGGCGGAGTAGGGTGGGCATTGCTTGAATGTGAGGGGTGCGTCTGTCTGTGCCGGGCGTTTGTCCTTCTCTGTGAGGCAGCTGGCTTTCCTGAAGTCTCATCCCAGCATGCCGCGCTCCCAGACGGTGAGTACCCCAGACTTCCATCTTGCACTTGGGGCCTGGTGGCGTATCGCATCCCCAGAGTCACGGGCTCCGTTCATCCTGCTGGGCGGCAGTGAAGAAGGTTGAAGGGTGAGCCGTGCATATAGAGCTTCTTCAGAGCTTTCCTAAAGAAGGGGCACGTCCAGGCAGGCAGCAGGGTCCCGTTGTCACCACAAGCCCAAAGGAAGCCCTAGGGACCCTCTGCCCCCCAACTAATGATGACCTTCCACCCTGACTGCCAGAGCCAGAGCCCAGCCTAGAGCCCGTGATTACTGCCTGCTTTGCGACCCCCCAACCCCCCGCCGGGGACTCATGGGGAAACAATCAAGTGAGTGTGGATCGAGGGGTGGGCAGATCTGATGAAGCGCAGGGACGGAGGTGTGGCTCTCATCCCTAGTCTCCTCCTGACCTCCTGACCGTGGGACCCTTTCCAGGGGTCTATGAGATGAGGCTGTCACCCACTCCCTCTTAAAAAGGTATATGTTTCAACTCCTAGATGTAGAAAACCCCAGGGGAGGAGTCTCGTTGGCCTGATGGTCATGCGTTGTCATCTGGGTCCTGCCCCATCCCCAGGGGTGGTTCCTCTCTGGAGCCCGGGAGTCTCCTCTGCACACTGGTAACACCGGCCATCTGTCTCTCTTGCCCCCCCTCCAGCCAACGGGAGCCCTACCGCCGGCCTGAGCACCGGGGCCATCGTGGGCATCCTGATTGTCATCTTCGTCCTGCTCTCGGTGGTTGTGGACGTCACCTGCTACTTCCTCAACAAGTGTGGCCTGTTCATGTGCATCGCCGTCAACCTGTGCGGGAAAGCCGGGCCTGGGGCCAAGGGCAAGGACATGGAGGAGGGCAAAGCTGCCTTCTCGTGAGTACAGAGCCTGCAGCTGCGCCACCACCCGCTGAGGCCTTTCCCTCCACCTAGGCATGACCCGGGTGTGTCCGTGCACATCTGGGCTCCACAGGGTTTCCAGGGACTGATTCTGTGCGCCAGGCACCTCTGGGCGGGCTCGACCCTCCAGTCTTTCTGGTTACAGCCCTGCAGGCTCGCGCGCCCCTCCACCAGGGGTGGGAATCCACCGGGCAGTAACTGCTCTACTGGTTTTCTACAGCATTCCCATTCAGAAACCTCCAAGGGGGCTGGGAAAAGAATTAGAATAACATTTCCGGAAGCATCCTCTTTGGAGGCGCCTGTTTAAAAAGCAGACCCCTGGGCCCTATCCCAGACCCAAGGGGCCATGGGTCGGGCTGTTAACTGTCACTGCAAGGCCAGCAGTTCCAACTCATCAGCTGCTTCATGGGAGAAAGATGAGGCAGTCTGCTCCCGTAAAGATCGACAGCCTCAGAGACCCCCTATAGAAACTGGTCTCCAGACTCGGTGGCAGCGTGGGTCGCAGGTCTAAGCGTGTGCACACAAAGATCCCTGCATAGACGAGGATGAGCAGAATTGTCAGAGATCATTCTAGAAAGGCGCATGCACATAGCATCCCGTGATGGTTTATGGTTCTGCCGCCCGCCCCTCCCCAACCCCTACCAGGGTGCAAAAGTTCAAGAGATGACAAGCTCCTGTTCTCATGGAACTGGCACGCAGGTGCTGTCCTTGCCAGTGTCTGCCGCGGAGCACATTCCGAGCCAGGCAGCTGGAGCAGCACCGGCAGAGAAGGGGCTGAGTGTGCTAAGTCGCTGGCTGCCACGTGGTTGGCCAGAGATATGTTTCTGCTGGGGTTCTCCAGAACACAGAACCAGTAGCATCTCTCAATGGCTGCCTAAGGAATGGGCTCACCGGACCGTGGGAGCTGCCAAGGCCAGAGTCCACCATAGGCCCGGCAGCAGGCTGGCAGCTCGGGCAGAATAGCTATTTTATTGCATATTCTGGAGGCAGTTTCCTCATCCCCTGCAGGACTCCATTTCTACTCCTCCGACCCACAGCTGCTGGGACAAAACCCCCACAGGGGGGAACACAGTCTGACTTAGTTAACTGATTGCAACTGCTAATCACGTATTTCATGTGAAATACCTTCACAGCAACATCCAGACGGGTGCGGGCAAACCACTGGGCAATTTGACACACAAAATTAACCATTATACGTGTATACATATACATACTTGCATATACAGATCTATATAGAGATAGATAAATATAGAGATAGAGATATATACTGCCATCGAGTCGATTACAATGCTTAACAGCCCTCTATAGGGTTTCTGAGACAGTAAATCTTTACAGGAGCAGATAACCTCATCTTTCTCTCAAGAAGCAGCTGGTGGGCTTGAACCACAGACCTCATCATGAACAAGCAGCCCAAGGTTTATCCTGCAGTGTTCCCTAGGTCTCCTTATACATGCATATGCACTCACGGCCATCGATGCTGGTTCATAGGGATCCTAAATAAGGTTTCTGAGGCTGAAGATCTTTTTTGGGTTTTTTTCATGTTTGAAATGAACTTATATGTCACTAAAGAATCTGAGTCTACTTCAGGTTAACTTTTCCTCCCAGTTTAGCCACTCAGACCAATATTTAGGTCCAAGAGGTAAAGAATCTGAAGGATTTTTAAGGCTGGGAACCTTCCCTCTCATTTTTTTAAAACTTCATTTCTATTAGATTTTTAAAGAGAAACATTCTGTGGAGCTGCATGACCCATCTCATCAAATCAAATCAGTTCATAGATCCCGTTAGCACGCCCTACCCACACATGTGGCTCGTTTTTTCCCTCCATCATTTCCTATCCCCCTTTCCCTGCCCCTGGCCCTGGCCCTGGCCTCCTCATACTTTTCAAAGACTTATCCTTTGGTGTGGAAGCCATTTTTCTTTTTCTTTGTTTTTCCTTATAATATTGGTATCATTAACGAGGCTAAAAACCTTGATGGGAACACAAAGCCTCATTCTTCTTCCACAGAGCAGCTTATGGGTTTGAACTCCCAGCCTTACAAGAATGTAGCTTGTTAGAGCCTTGGTCTGGGCTAGATAAGGTGCTGAGCGGCTTGCAAAATGAGCTGATACCAAGGGCTCAAGTAGAAAGAAATGTTTTGAAAATGATGATGGCAACATATGTGCAAATGTGCTGGACACAGTGGATGGATGGATAAATTGTGATAAGAGCTGTAAGAGCCCCCAATAAAATGCTTTAAAAAAAATTTTTTTAACTCACTGCCATCAAGTCATTCCAACTCACAGTGACCCTAAGGCCCAGAGCAAGGTAGAACTGTGCCTGTGGGCTTCTGAAAATCTTGATGGAAGTAGAAAGCCTGATCTTTCTCCCGTGGAACAACTGGTGGTTTCGAACTACTGACCTTGCCGATCACAGCCCAACGTGAGATTGCTAACGGCACCAGGTCTCCTCCGTGATAACTAGGGCAGTAGATATTATTTGCCCCATTTTGCAGATGAGGAAACAGAAATCAAGTGTGATGTGATCGCATGTTCCCAGGCACTCACAGATACCCATGCCCCGCCCTCCCATAGCAAGCCTGGGCCCCCATTGGCTGCCCTCGAAGCCCACCTGCCGGCTCTGGGGAGGAACCTCGCTCCCCCATCTGGAGCTGGCTAGCAGAATTCTCTCCACAGGAAAGATGAGTCCAAGGAGCCCATTGTGGAGGTGCGGACGGAGGAGGAACGGACCCCAAACCATGATGGAGGGAAACACACAGAGCCTAATGAGACCACGCCCCTGACGGAGCCTGAGTACGTGGGCAGGGCATGGGCGGGGCCTGCACCTCCGCTAGGGCGCCCACCTCCTCTACCCTCCCACACCTCCCAGGGCTCCTCCAGCGCCCAGCCCTGGTGGCAGGCCAGCATGCCGGAGTCCTTGGCCGGAAGACACCCCTACCTGACATGGCCGAGCCTGTTTTCTCAGTTGTATTGATCCAAATTCTCAGTTGTATTGAGAATGAGTTGTATTCATGGGGGCGGGGGGAGGGGCCTGTAAGAAGCTCCCCGAATAAGTGGGGATCCACACGCACACTGGTCTTGGCGTGCGGGGAGGACAGCTCACTGAGAGAGGCTGAGCTTTGAGAAGCGTAGTCGGGCCTGCCTGGAATATGCTAACATCATAGGTTCCATCCTGCCTTCCCAAAGGTGTGAGGGAATTTGGGGATCTGGTCCACTTCCCTAACCTTCCTCTTCTCTGCAGCCTCCGGGGTCCTCAGAGACCCTGACCAGCTGCTGCGGCACCACCTGGCTGGCCATGCTGGGTACTTTGGGCTTGAAGGGAATCTCGCTTCATGGTGCCACACGACCTGTGATGGGAAGATGCTATGGCCCTCAGGGGCCGTTTAGGGCCTCCTTGTCTGCCTTCTTCCTGGCCTGGGGACATTATTGCCCGTGGGACTCGGCAGGGCTGCAGGGGCAGCTACTCCAGGATGTATGGAGCCTCTCGTGGGTGGGCGGCTGAGCTGCAGGCCCCTCTCCTGGGGCAGACGTTGGGGCAAGTCTGAGGGACAGCGAGAGGGAGCGCTGCAGGTCCCTGGCAGACGCCACATGTCTCTGTCGTCTCCTGTGTCCTCTTCTGCCTCCCGCTCAGTGTCCTCGTCTTTCTGTGGCCCTGTGTCCGAGTGTCCGGGAAACTGCATGCCCCTCTCCCGGGCTTCTCCCCCTCCGCCCCCTGCCTCTCTGTCACGTCTCCGCTTCAATGTGTCTTCTCTCTACTTCCTGTCCTCCCCGCAGGCTGCCTGCTGACACCACAGCCACTGTGGAAGACTTGCTGCCTTCGGCCACCACCGTCACCACTAACTCTGACACTGTCACCGAAACCTTTGCCACTGCTCAGAATAGCCCCACCAGTGAGACCACCACCCTCACCTCCAGTATTGCCCCCCCAACCACAGCCATGCCGGACTCAAATTCCGTGCCCGCTGGCCAGGCCACCCCCCTCAAGGGGCCCGCAGCCTCCTCCCCACCTCCCGCTTCTGCCCCCAAAGTCGCCCCCCTTGTTGACCTAAGTGACACCCCGGCCTCAGCCCCTGCCGCTAACAATTTGTCTTCTAGTGTCCTGGCCAACCAAGGGGCTGTCCTCAGCCCAAGCGCCCCTGGCAGTGTGGCCGAGGCCACCAAGGCCCCTCCTGGGAGCAAGCCAGCCCCCAGCCCGGCCCCCGCCCCAACTGGGGCAGGTAGTCCCCTAGCAGCAGTGGCTGCCACTGCCACAGAAGCCCCCCAACCCAAGCAGGAGGCTCCCAGCACCAAAGGCGCGGACCCAGAGCCCACCCAGCCCGGCCGCGCGAAGAGCCCAGGGGTGGCGGCGGAGGCAGCCCTGGCTAGCCCGAAGACAGAGGCAGCCTCCGCCAGCGCCACAAACCCGTCCCAGGGCGAGGACTTTAAAATGGACGAAGGGAACTTCAAGACCCCAGATATTGACCTTGCCAAGGATGTTTTTGCCGCCCTGGGCTCTCCTGCTCCCGCTGCCGGGGCCGGTGGACAAGCCCCTGAGCTTGCCCCTTCCACCGCAGACAGCTCTGTCTCTCCTGCACCAGCAAAGACCGAGTACGGCTTCTCTCTGTCCACTCTGGTCGGGTGGTGTCCCGTGGTGGTGTGCGTCTGTGCTGTGCTGTGTCCTCTTGTCGGATGGTGTCTTCAGACTAACCGGGGGCTGCTCCGAACCGACTTGTCAGCCAAGGGGGACGGGGTCGGGAGAAAGGCGGAGCCAGTGGCAGCGGGGAGGGCAGGCAGCTGGGCCCTGGGCGCAGCCTCCTGCTCAGTAATTAGGCCATGTTCATTATGTTTTCTCCTTCCCGCCCTAGCTGTGGCTCCTGTTCTCTTTCCCGCCCTAGCTGTGGCTCCTGTTTTCCCTGGGGTAGAACCTGGCAGCAGGGCCACTGATGAGCAGCCTTGGGGAGGCAGGCTAAGGAGGCCACGGAGCCCCAAGGCTGACAGTCATGTATTAGCAAGCACCAGGAAGAGGAGAAGGACAGGTGGAGGCCAGTGTTTGGAGGGCAGCGGGGCCACACTCGGCCAGGCTGCCCACACCCCGCCCCCACCTCTTGCTTCTTCCGCTCTTAGAAGAGACTGGGAAGATGTCGAGGCTCCCAAGCACCAAGTGGCTGTCACGTCTCTAAGTTCAGCTCACAGGTTTCTTCCTTGTGAGGCTCACATCCAGCAGGGCCCGCTAAGCAGGGCTCTGCACCTGCCCGGGTATAGCCTTAGACCCAACTCCTGCTGGGGGAGCTGATAGAAGGAGGAGACAACTTGAGGGGCTCCTCAGACTGTCCCCCAGATAAGCAGCCATCAAGAGCCACCGCAGAGTGTCACCTGCAGGCCCTGACTTCCCTCTGGGAAGTGAAAGGACCCCATCAGGCCTGCCCACTCAGCCAGACCCTGGGGCCCTTTCCTTAGCAAACCTGCCGGACTCTGAAAGAGCACTCTCAAATTCCCCATAGGCATGCCATCTGGAAACTCAGAGGACTGAGGGTGGGCTAGGGATGCAGCCAAGGACAGGTTGTTAGCTTGTTAGCTAAGGGGCCCGTGAGAGTCAGTGCTGGGCCCAGCCCAGGGTCCCTCTTTACACCAAGCCGGAATGCTGCAGGCCCTGTACCACCCTCCCAGACAGCCAGAGCACAGCACACTGCTGCTTCTCAAAGCACCGTGTCCTGACCGGCGAGTCAGAGCTCTGGAGGCAGGGCCCAGTGAGCAGTGGTTGCCAGGTTCCCCTGTGGTTCTGGGGAGTGGCCGAAGTTGGAGACCTGGTGCTCACTGGGAGCCCCTCCCCAGGGCAGGCTGGCCACAGATCTTGGTCTCAGGGTGTGTTTTCTCACCTCCCTGCAGGAAGGGCCCCGTAGAAGCGAAGTCGGAGAGCCAGGAGACAGAAACGAAGCCAGCGCCGCCAGCGGAGGTCAAGACGGTCCCCAACGACGCCCCACAGACAAAGGAGAGTGAGAGCAAAGCATGATGGGTGACAGCAGCAAGCAACGATCAAAATACAGAGTGACACAACTTCACCAGAGCATTTCCAATGTCACGCACACACACACCAAACGCGCGCGCGCACACATCTCATTCCTCTAGTGTCTTTTGCCTTTTAAAAATAATAACTAAACAGATAAACACAGAATCTCCTTTCTGCGGATTGACAGAGAGGGTCCCTTTACCACGCACTCACTTGTAAGAAAACAAGCGAGAAAATTACACCCACAGCTAAACTAGGACACTTCGTTCCCTGAGACTGTTTAGAAACCCAGCAAAAAGGACCCCAAATTAAGAATCCATGTAGGTCCACGAGGACCACTCTTGGTCTCACCCCAATTGGCCGACAGACCCGTTTCAGAGAGAGCAGCGACCGGGCTCGAAGACAGACCGAGATGAACCAAGTCCGCAGTTTATTTTTCTACTTTCCGCCGAGTTCGAACTCTGTAAAAGCTCATAAATAAGGTACCATTTCTGCCCACTTGCTCTTTGTTCTGTGCGCAAAGCGTGTCCCCTTTTCCAGCTGCGTTCAGTCCCTGCATAGACGCTTGTTTTGTAAGAAGAATGCCAAATTGCAGCTTCTGGGGGTAGAGTTCCATTTGCAGTATTTGGGTTTCGGTTTTCTTTCCTGTCCTCTTTTTTGCCCCTGCCTGTCTCTCTTCATCCACTTTTGTTGGCCAGTGTTTACACATTGACACATGTTTGACTTTGGTTCTGTTTCAATGTCCACGTAAAATAGAGGCCTTCCCCCACCCCCCTTCAAGCTTAGTTTTAACGTTACAGATACCGCCTGGGGAGGGGGGGAACCCCACAGGCCCGCATCAGCACAGACAGCGTGACCCAAGGCTGTTGGTGACAGTGGTTCCTGCCTCTGTTCTACTTGCCTGGGCCCTGCTCAGGTGACTCCTGGCATGGCTTGTTGCCCCTGGGTTTCCCTTCCTTGGGTTACCTGCTGGGGTTGGACCACGCTCTGATTCCCCACCACCTGCCTGCATCTGTGACAAGGAGCCTCTCCCCCATCCCACCCCAAGGCGCCCTCACCCTTCCTTTTGAAGGCCTCCGCGGGCTTTGTTGAAGGAAGCATAGATGATTGTTGTAGTTAGGGCTGGTCTTGGTGAACACATCTTTTCTTTTTTCTTTTTATTTTAAATACCCCAAGCATCCCCTTTTTGTAGAAAGCCAAATAAAAAATATATATGGAAGATTTCCTTTTGAGCCCAGAATCGCGGTTTGAGCAAAAGAGCACGTGTGCTTCAGGGAATTAGTGTCTCTTATTTTGGAAATCTGTTGAAGTAAAGCGGCATTGCCCTCCGCTCTCTTAAGCAGCGTGGGCTGAAACCAGAGAAAGGAAAAAAATAAGAATAATAGTAGCCACCACCCGCTTGAGTCACAGCTTTCCTGCATTGGAAACCAAGTGGGGGTAAAAATCTACAGAAACTTTGAGGGGGACGGGTGGGGGGGAAAGGGAACAGCCAATCCTTTGTATAGAAATTTTGCTTTGTTTCCCCTCTCATTCTACTTTAGAACTGCAAGCTTGTGCACTGTGGATGCGTGACTATTTTAGTGTGAAACGTGTTTTTGTCATAGTATTGAAATAAAACTTCAACATAGTTTGGTTGTGGAAGGGTTAGCAGATAGTTCAGAAAAAAATATTCAGGAAAACAAAAGAAATCTTTAAAAAAAAAAAGGAATTGAAGCCTTCACACAAAGAAAACTGATTTTTTAAGGAAAAAAAAAAAGACTGATAATGATGAGTGACCAGAAACCAGTTCTCGGGCATGCATTCCTTTCCCAAGGTACCAAACGTCGAGTGGTTAGGGTGGCAAGGCTGTCCCTGCGCCCTTGGCTCTGTGGGCTGCATACGCCCATCTTCTGACGACTCTGCAGGCTGGCCAGTCAGCCATGTTAGATTATCACTTCAAACTGTGAAAACCCATGGTCTTGTCATTTGCTAAGTGTGGGGTTATTTTGCATTTTCTCAACTCCGGGGGATGGAAATGGAGGGTCCCAGTGGACACAGCCTGGCCCCCTTAATTCTAGGGCTTGCCCAAATCCATGGTTCGATGCACAGATCTCTAGGGAGCAAACCCCAGAGAGTCCGTAGAACACACGGCAGGAAGGAAGAGCTTGGTAGGGAGGAGCTGGCAGCCGGGGTGGCTCTGTCAGCCACCACGCTGTTAGTGGCATCCGCTCCTCGTCTGGGGACGCGCATGGCTTTGGCCAACTATGCCGAGCCCACGCTATACCTCACCAAGACTGGACATCTCATCCCAGGGGGTTGTGGTTAGGCTGTGGATTCTGGTTCTGTTGGTTAGATAGAGACTGAGGTATCGTCATCCGTCTCTCAGAGAGCGCCGCCCGGGGCAGCACACCCCCAGCCCCCAGAATCCTAGCGTCACTCTTGCCTGGAACCCAAGGCTCTGCCCGCCTCTCTCCCGTCCTACAATGCAGCTTTATCTCTGCGTGCCTGGGCTTTCCTTTCTCCACAGCAAGGCAGGGCCAGGCTCTCTCGACACTCTGGAGAGGGAGCCGCTGTCTTAGTCCCAAGTTGCCCTATCTGTTCTGTTAAAGATAACAGCTTATCATTCTCCTCCTTTGGGTCTTTTCTTCTTTGAGAGCCGGACCTACACCATCAGTTCCCAGGGTCTCTATGTGTCTCTATGAGTATGTGCCGTACACGTGTGTTCATATAAACAGCAGCACGGCCAGGTTCAGCCAGGGGGGCACCGGGGTGCTGTGGGGGCGGGGTGGGGTGGGGGGTCTCTCACTCCTGAAGGGCCGTCCGTCGTGTGCATAGTGCAGCTGCGGGCGTGGAGCACTGCTTTCACGCTTTTCTATGGAGCCTTCCCAAGCCCAGGTTTTCACTCTACGCTGTCTGCCTGGATGGTGGTTCTCAGACCTCCGTGAGCATCCTTACCCAGCATTCCCTACTTTGGGGGCCTTTCTCTCATGTTATAAAACTTTTTACCGAGTGAAACATCGAGACCACCTTTGTTTCCATCCTCACTGGTGTAAATACTGAGTACTAACTGAGAATTTTGACTTTGCATTCTGTCAGAATACTTGTGTTCAATAAAAATCGAAAGAAAAAAAGAAAACGTGTGTTCAGTCCGGGACTTCTTTCGAGGCTGCGGGAGAATGTGAGGCGAATCCGATGTGAGCGAGCGCCTGCGGTTGGACCCTGGCTCATGGCAGCCCCGTGTGTGTCAGCACGGACCCCCGGCTCATGGCGGTGCAGAACTGGGCACCACCATGTTTTCAAAATCTGGCTTTTTTTGGAAGCTGACCACTGGTCTTCCTTTCTTCCCAAGAGCCTCTGAGTGAAACATGGCTGCCAACACTTTGGTCAGCAGGCAGGCCAGGTCTTGTGTTCCTGCCACCCGAATGATGGATTTTTATTTTATTCTCATTAAGAAAAAGGCCAGTCATCAGATCAGATTTCCCTGAAATCCTAGTCTGACCAGCCCTGGGATAGTTGCCGAAGCTTCCTGGGACTTTCTGACCAACAGGAAATGCCTGGCTAATGGAGATGAGGTAGTGATCAATGAACGCAACCATGTACATGGGCAAGATGCTGACGGAGCACGGTCTAGGCGCATAGTAGATACTCGGCAAGTGGCTCTCAGGGTGTGAAGCTGCTCGGGCCCAACTGAAATAACCATTAACACCGGAACTCAAAGGCCCAGCAATGAAGCAGGCCAAACCAAACCAAACTCATGGCCACCGAGTCCATGCTGACTCCTAGTGACCCTATAGGACAGGGGCTACTTTCCGGAAGTCGATAACCTCACCTTCTCCCAAACAGCAGCTGGTGCATCTACGCTGCTGACCATGCGGACAGCAGCCCAATGAGACCTGTTCTAGAATAAGTGAGGCCTCCCTCCTATTCCTCTGCCATATTTTTTAGAGCACTCATTTGGCCCGAACATGTATTAAAAGACAAGTAGATAAACAAAAAGAGAATGGGGGAAAAAACCAACAACCGCACTGCCATAAGGTTGATTTCCACCTCACAGTGATCCTCTGGGACACAGGGGAACCCCCCTGTGGGTTTCAGAGACTAACTCTTTCCCGAGTAGGAAACCTCATCTTTCTCCCTCAGAGTAGCTGCAGGTTTCCAACTGGTGACTTTGCTGTTAGCAGGCCCACTGGTAACCCCCAACTTTACCTCTGGGGCTCCCCTGGGGTACACAAAGGGGGAAGAAAACCGTTGCCCCCGCTCGGAATCATCGTGCATATGGCCCCATCTGGATGGATGTGGAAGCAACAGCCACTGAATTGGGAACTTCCCGTTAAACTAGAGTTCCTAGACAAGATTGGGTAGCAGGGCAAGGACTAGAATGTGAGAAGGTATCACGCTTAGAGGCCAACCCTGCATTTATACCACCCTTAGATTGATGAACCTCCATTATCTTCCCCTAGCCCCTGCCCTGGGTCAGGACCTTCCCCCCAGGTGTCACCTGCCATTCATTCCCAGGATTTGCCCCTTCCCTGGCCCCAGGGCTGGTTCTCATGGGACAGAGTCCTAGGCATCTATCTACCGGGTTTCCTGTGCTGCCAATCACCAGCTGTGTGTAGTGGGGTGAGGAGGGGGACACAGAGCCCATTGCTTATGAAATTTAGAGAAAGCACGAAAAGAACCTTTCCACTGATCGAGGAGGGGCTTGTTCCAGAGCCTTCTGTCCACACTAGTCTCTCTGACTCACTCCGCAAATATTTGCTGAGCTTCTCCTTGTTAAATATACAGTGGTGAACAGAAACAGCCCCTGTGGACTTTGCATTCAGTATTGGCTTAAGGCAGTCAACAAACAGAATATCATTACAAGTACACCGTGGTGGTCCTTGGCCCGTCACACATATCCTGGTTCTCCATATTCCTGCAGACTTGCCGGAATGTGGCAGGGTTGTACCTCTCTACCCACTGGAAGGGGGCATGGTTCTCTGACGTGCTCCCAGTCAATGGGAGGCGAATGGAGGTAGTGTATGTCACACATGTAGACAGAGAGTCGGATAGCCTGTATACATATTACCCTAGACCCCTTCCCCACAACAATCAGCAGTGCTCCAGATGCTGGGCAAGCCATCAGCCGGGGTCCAGATCCAGGGGAGGTGACCAGAGCCCCAGCAGATGCCTGATGGACATGGACTGTGTAGGAGGAGAAACCTTTTGGACTGGAGGGAGGGAAGTGGGGTGTGTGCGTGTGTGTGTGTGTGTGTGTGTGTGTGGTGTGTGTTTTAAAACTTTACTGATATGAATGATGTGATGCAAAGAATATACTGTTCTTGCTATCAAGACTCCACATAGCCAATTGACCCGGAATACTTTGGTTCATTTCTGCCAAACTGATATTCATAATCAACTACGATTGTGATTGATGAGTGACGGTAGCTCCAACAAGAGTGTTGGTTGATGTATATTCATGTGTGTTAAGGGCTAAGCTGAAAATGAAACAAGGAAGACATATACTCAAGTCGCCTTCA